AAATAGGTTATTTCACCGAAAGATCTGTAAAAGTAAACTTGTTGGTGAAATAAGGTGTCTACGAAGTGATTGTCTGCAAAGTGAACAGCACCACTTAATGTTTAAAGCCTAATCCTAACATGAAATAAGAAATACCCTAATTCTACCCTGAAAATGGGAGCACTTGGAAAAGATAAATTTGATACGGTCTTGCATAATCTAACCACATTTAATAAAAATTTGTTTTGTTAAAATAAAATTATTTTAGTCTTCATACTAACAATGAAAGAATAAGCTACACTAGTACTCACCATAATCTTTTAAAAATGTTTGGAGTTTAAATTTTATATGCCAACGCACGATCTAAATAAAAAAAAAAAAAGAACCAAATTATTTTGCATATAGCTTTAGCACGAAATAAACTATGCAATTGCTTAAAATAACCTCAAAATACTTGCCTAAATACATCATATATACAACTTGCACGATCTAAATTCAAAAAAAAAAATTAACATCTATACAAACGTTCGCAGGCCTTCGGCTTGCAAACTTCTATAAAAAAATTAACATCTATACAAACATTTGCAGGCCTTCGGCCTGCAAACTTCTATTTTATCAAAAGAACCTTGCTAGAAGACGAGCCATGCATCGTATGAGCTTAACCTTATCTATAATGTGTCGCTTCTGACTTAACCTACCTAATTCTAATCTTAAAATGAAATAACTGAAGTTCTGCTTTAGTAACTTTAGTGCTAAATAAATTAAAATTTTACGTTAAAGTAAATATCTTGAGCGATGTTAAATTACTATGTAATTTAGGGCATTCTCAAGTACCTTTCTCAATGAAATCAATAAAGAATCTGATTGGTATATAAGATAAAACTGACCAATCAGATTCTTTATCGAGTTTATTGAGAAAGGTGCTTCTCATACTTCATAAATCATCATTAATTCTAAGTTTCAATTTGAGCATTAATTTGCTATATCAATTTGAGATTATTACATATTATACAGTACAAGAATAAATAATGTGCTATATCAACTATTTGTTAGGGCAATTTCGCTTATCATGTTCTTTGCTTTTACAAACACTGCATTGACGAGAAGCACGAGACGAAGTATGTATACGTTTTTTCAGTTTTTCAATTGCTGATTTTATACGCCTTTTGGAGGGACGCCCTTTTCTAATATATTTAAGTAGATTCTGAACATCTAGTTGTGTAGTTTCGATATCTTGATCATTCTCTATATCTTGATCACTCTCTGTATCCTGATTACTCTCTGTACCTTGATCACTCTCTACAATTTGGTTATCATCTAGTTCCTGTTCTATAATTTGTTTGCTGTATTGTGCTTCCTCATGGATGCATATCCATTTCTTAAATATTTCCATCAAAATCTTTGAATCATTTAAATCATCGTAATTAACTACTTCTACACATTTACGGGCAAGCCCAAGCAATGTTCCTTTAATCGATTGTTTACGGCCAATTGCTTTTGCTGCAGCTTGTACAGGAGCTTCAATAAGCATGGTATTCCACGAATCAGCACATCCAGAAAAGAAGGTAAAAATGGTGTTAAACTGTTCTTTTCTAATGAATTTCTTCTAAGAAATAGCTCATCAACAACTACCACGTTCATAAATTCGTCTTTGTATCAACGTCTTGGAATGAGAGAAATGTGAAAATAAGCCTTTTCAGACTGTAAAAGAACACAAAACCAATGACAGCAAATCACTCCACTATTGAATAATAAGATGCATGTGCATAAATAAAATCCATTTTTTAGCAGCACTACATTCTGTCCAATATTCGATTTATGCTCGATTGATTGAACTTCCCAAACCTCAGCAACTAAGAAATGATCAATCTCCTCAAGAAGTTCATCAAAATGTATCTGACGAAAGTCATACTCAAATTCAATCGGCCCATTATCAACAACCTCCAATGTTAAATTATATAGATCCTCAAAATTAACCTTTTTGCTATGATGCATCACCACCTCATTCATTTGATCAATATGTAACTGTAAAATTTTAGGCATTACATACTTTTGCAAAATATTGTATATTTCAGGAAAAAGTTGTCCAGGAACACTTGATGTCATATATGATGTTGTCTTTTCACACCAAGCTGCAAACCGACTAGCAAATTGTTTTTCTGCAACACGTGATTCAATTCGGTTAAACAGGATGTGAAGTTGAGTTCTTTCATTTACAGTCCATTTAATTATACCGTTTATTGATTCAGATTGTTGTGTAGATATTATTCCTGCCGTAAAAACTCGACTTGTAAATGCTTTTGCTCAGGTTGTTTTACGTGGATCAAGCTGTCTAAGTAGGTATTCAGTTGATTCTGGAAAATCGATCATAAGTTGTTTCCAGTATTTCTCAAATGTTTCTTTACATAAAATGTTTCAGCAACGATAAAATGCTTTGATAAAATCTGCATAATTATCACCAAGTAGCTTTGCAAGCTGCTTTTCAATGTTACGCCCAATGTACCAGATACAATGAAGTAGGTAGGTATCAGGATATATTTCAGGAACAACACTTTCAAGACCTGGATCTGCATCAATCATAAAAGCGCCGGGCTGAACTCCTGTAGCCTCAATTGTTTGCTGTAAAACCCATCTATAACTTTCACTTGTTTCATCAGGCAATA